CAACTGCGAACTCAGAAAACGCATTATTTGTTATGAAGATAATACGGTGTTGATATATATTGGAGAATGCATATAATAAAATTGTACATATACCGCCTAAATAAATCTTTTATGGGTAAGATACTCTAAAGTTGTCCAAAGAAAATTTTTATCATTCGTTATAAATGTGTTCATTAAATATTTACAGTGACGGATTTAGGGGGGGGGAGCAAGTGTCCCCAGTTTCCCCCCCCTCGCTGCTCTTTAACTGGTCTGGCACCCTTGTTGGAAGTGCGGCGCCCCTTTTCTATGAACTGACATTTGATGTACTGACGGAGGAACCTCATGGGCTTCATTGTACTCGGATCATCCAAAAACGAAAAATATAATCGGCAATTATCCTTCTCACTGTCAAATCATTATAAATCATAGAATGACAATCTTTCTCTGTCGAGGTAGTGGCATGGATAAAACTTTCCATAAACAATTTTCAAACCACTCAAAGTGAGCATGACCTACGGTGTAAACTGATTTCCTACTGCAACATAGTGATGGTATAATATCAATCAATTACCGAAGGTTTATAAGCGCCCCCCTTTATCAACTGCCTCCCCTTCAGCATAGTTCTGGATCCGCCCTTGAATATTTAAATGTGAAATGTTTACAGGTTGAAGTCAGAGGATATAAGTCAGATTTGAATAAAAATTATAAATGCCATCCTTTAACACCTTGAAACACTATACATTATACACTATACTCTCTATACATTGTTTGACGTTACCCTGAGGTCGCTACAAAAGACGGCGTCATCGAATTTTGTGCTCAGTCCTGCCACTGGAACCGCCTGGAAGAGGTGCAAATTCAAATTATAAACTTTCTGATTCTTTAACCAGAAATACAACTCTTTCATGTAAAACAGCAAATTTACTGAAAATCACACTAGCAAGTGTGTCTTGCATCTTCAGTACAAGTACTGTGGATTTGGATTACACTTTATTGAGCAACTTTGGGAAGACAATCCTCGCCAGCCCGCCGCCTACCGTTACTTTGAACAATGCCGGGAGAATAGCAGAAGTGCTATATAAAAAAAAGCTAACCTAGACGGGCTATGTGGGTGGGGTATTCACGTTGTTCTAGGTGACTTCAATGCGGTATCCAGTTGTGATCCATCTGGCTATAAGATATCTGCCAGACCCCATGACCTATGACTTGTTACCGATTGCGGGAATAGTCTTCTCTAGCCCTTTACGAATTCCAACGGACCGAAGATGATCTTCATCTGGAACATATGACGATCTCAGTATAATTATGTGGCCTAAATATTGACACCAATCTGCTAGTCTACGTAATTCTGAGAATAGTTCACAATTTCCTAGTACCAGATAAAGACACTCGATGGTTCTTGGGGTCGGATTAAGAAATTCCTCCCTGCATCATTTATATCACCACCGTCCAAACGGTGTGCGTGTGTGTCTTCTTAAACTACAATAAAACATGACAAACAACACAAAGGCCATCAGCACTCAATACTGCATTTAGGTTAAAAAATCGTGGAGCAGTTGTTTCAATTGAAGGGGCAAACCTAAGTCCTGGCCAGAGAAACATAAACACCAGTGCTCACCAGACTCAAGACTCCCTGGATTTGCTATTTTGCCCCCAGGCCAAATAAGTTCTCACATGTGTACAGGAAAACAGGGAGATGAGATGCTGCCGAAAAATCTTACGCATTTCACACATAATCATGTACAGTAGCTAACAAAGAAATTCGCAACGAGATCACTCAGGCGACTCGGTGAACATGATGACCTACTTATTACCACACTTCGATTGTAGCCACGAGGGTCCCTCATAGCAACTCATTAGACAGGTCTTTGCCCATCTCTTGTTCCTCGCGACAGAATCTGCCCAAGCCACGACTTCCTGGGTCATCCCACGGACATCCTACACCCACGATTGTCTATGTGCTAGGTGCACGTATAGCCTAAGTTGGCGGTTACGGATTGTGCAAGAAACGGGTCCTATGTCGGCTTCACGTGTAACCGTCGGTTATACACACAGACCTGCCAACTGTATTACATCATCCGGCGTAAGGACTTGTTATAAAAGACACAACTCCAAGGCACTAGATAGCGTCCAGGTTTCACTTCCATAATGCAAACTAGAAGTAGGGTTATTAACGCCTTGCCATGTAGCTTGGTCATTCTCCACAGATACTCTTGTTGATTGAATTCATGGCTCCAACTGCCAGGCCAATTAGTCTACTGACTACCTAGTCGGCCCAGAAAGGTTATTACATCATAAAACATGTACTTATTTATTTATCAATATTTTTTCTACTGAAAAATATGCAATAGAGGGTTAATTACTTTGTTAAATAATATGGATCGAATATTTTTTTGATGGAAATAGTTACATACAATTGAGATGCCTTATCAAATATGTTCATTCAGATTATAATTGCTTTATGTTGTCCATGCTCTTCCAATCAAAAAATGCGTTGCGCATCAAGTTCGTGACGTAG